AACAACAACAACAACAACAACAACAACAACAACAACAACAACAACAACAACAAAAGGGGATGGATAGGGGCAATCCAAGTAACAGACAACAAAGAAGAGAATGATTAAGTAAACAACATTAATATGGTCTAACAAACTTTATTCTCAGCGAATGTCGTTTTCCTTCCTCCTCTAGATCTACAACAACAGACCTCCGTAAACGGGGCTACAGATCTATGTGCACAACCTCTCACCTTGAGGGGAGCTCCGAACGGTTTTTTGACCAGGATACCTCCCGAGGCTGTCAAAGTTCCCGGGATACGGATGGGGTCTGGAGAAATGCTCACGTCACGTGGTACAGCGATCTCCTTCTTGGGGTCTTCACAGTTAGTGAATGAGAAGGTGTTTGAAGATCCCTGCTGGCTCTGAGGAAAGAAAAAAACAACATGTTCTGATGTCGTTTTTTGGTATGGTATGGTATGGTATGGTATGGTATGGTATGGTATGGTATGGTATGGTATGGTATGGTATGGTATGGTATGGTACAATATGGTACAATATGGTATGGTATGGCATGGTATGGCATAACATGATAGGGTATGATATTGTATGGTATAGTATAGTATGGTATGGCTAAACATGGAATGGAGCTCTGGTGGCCTAGAGGTCAAGGTTTTCATCTCTCATTCAATAAGTCCTGGGTTAGAATCCAGATAGCGACGGAAAACGTTTTTCTCTAAAAAAAAAATCTCCTTTCAAATCCATTCCTGCTCTCTAAAAAGGTTCTATCGATCGCTTTCGTCTCCATTTCTGCCCCCACCCCCTCACCCCCTGTACCCCTCCTCTGGGCTCCTGACTCTTTCTGCAGTCATTCTTCTGCTTCTCATTGGCTCCTCCTTACTGCTGTCTTTCAGCCAAACACCTGATCTTATGGAAGGTAAGATCTAAAGCTAGCCTTCTTGGACAAGGGCGAAAAAATTTAGGAGGTCCTGTGTTCAAGTTGCGTAAGTTAGTAATACATTGATATCCCTTGGTTGTCCAAAATCGATATGAGTAGGCTTCAGCCGCCATACAGGCAAAATTCAAAATTTCCTACCAACTAAAATCACGAAAAAAAAAACAAACGACAACAACAACATGGTATGGTATAATATTATAGTGGAAAGCGCATAAAGCTTGATGTAGAGCTGGGATGTGCGATGGGAAAATGTTATTTATTATCAATATTATTTTTTCATTATATGGCAAGGTATGATATTGTATGTTGTTATGTTATGGTACGGTATGTAATGGTATGGTATGGCATGATATGGTATGGTATGGAATGGCACAGTATGGTATGGTATGGTATGTTCCGGTATTACATGTATAATAGAAATAGTATTAATCCCTTGTCACATCAAACAGATGCACCCTGGGATGCACAGCTATTCCTTCTTTTCCCCAGAGACATGGAACAATTCCACATAATGCAATTATGGAGCTTCGATCAGGCCGATACAAGCGGAGATTACGAAACGACGTTTTTTGTGTCTTTAAAAACAAGGTCGCTGATCTTCGAGGAGTAAGGGTTGTGTGTGAGCACTCCACTATACCCACAGTTAGATTCCTATTACCAATAAGACCTGGTGAACATGTATTTCGTCTACGTGCACGACAGTGACCCCATTCATCGTCGCCTAGCTTTTCAGTTATAATAAGTCCAAAAGTTTGACTTTAAAAAAATGGTCCGGGGTATCGGTTGCGTGTGCTCAGGAATATTTTAATGAAATAAAAATTCTAAATATTAAGAAACCAGAAAAGATGCGTAATTTCTTAGTTGCTTTTAAAAGATTGAAACATTTTCTTTTTCTCTCTCCTGGAAATTTAATGTTGCTTTCTGAATGTAGTACGTTTGGGCAGCTTCCCGACGACATGCTTTTCACTGCCGATTTGACTGAGCTGTTACATCAGGAGGACCGGGAAGATACTCAGAGACAGACCAGTACAGCGTCTTCGGAGACATAGCCATAAACGTACACATAAAGCATGTATGTAAGTACAGTCAAACCTGCGCAAACGACAAGATGTCCTAGACAGTCACCAGTGCAAAGTGGTATTCCCTACTTTCCCCTTTGTTTTTCTTTTTTTTAAAAATTATACCGACGTTGGCTAAGACCTCCACCACATAATGTCATCCACTTTCTACACGACAATGGGTCACAGACAATTTCGTCTTTATATTATGTGTGTGTTATCATGGTGAGATTTGGCCCTAGTCACAATAGTGAATCCGAAGAAACTGGCATTTTTGCGACCGTTAGATAATTAAAATCGATTTTTTTTTTTTTTTTTGGCTTACCACATAAATATGTACATTGGCCGTTTCCAAAAACTCAGGCTTTGGAAGTCACTAAACTTTGGTGGGTTATATTATCTCTGACACCAGAGAACCCCGCCTCCTCAATTGCAAATATCCCGACTTTTAAAAAAAGATTGATGGATATATTTTCTTCAAAGCTGAACAAATAAACGAGCTTAAGGGCAATACCAATAACACCATTCACCCCCCCCCCTCCCCACCAACAAATAAATAAATAAATAAATAAATAAATAAATAAATAAATAAATAAATAAATAAATAAATAAATAAATAAAAAAGAAATAAACATTGACTGAAAAGATGGTATCCTGAAATTTGTTCAACACAATGTCGAAAAAAAATTGGTTTCGCGCAACCTTCAACAGATGCATCACAGGATGCCCTGCCCTGTCCCTCTTTTCCCTCGAGGTATGACACAACCCAAGAGATAATTTGATAACGCAGCCTCAGATCGACGCACTTGGAGGACAGTGGATCGTTCCTGGGACACGATCGGGGGCGTAACAATATCCTCGGCATCTGAGACTAAATATAGTTATACAACAGAAATGTCAAAGGGTAATCACAATTGGGTTCTTGAAGGACAACATGCTATTTTGAGCCGTTTTATGGGTACAGGCTTTTCGGATATCTTGCGTTCCACATTTGTTTATTTAAAGACATTAAACTAGGAGCATAAATTAAGTTAGGCTTCTGTTTAATAATAATTATTTTACGCATTGCCCGTGATTACTGAAGAGAAGACGTTTAAAATTTCTTCCTTCACGTCTTTTTCATTCAAAATGTTAATAATAATAATAATAATGATAATAATAATAATCATAATAATCATAATAATCATAATAATCATAATAATAATAACAATAAC